GTTGCAGGGTTTCCCAGAGCAGCAGGCTGACCGGGCCGAGTGCTGTGCCGATGACCAGGCAGTAGGCAGGTCCACGGCATGGGGCTGAGGTTCTCTGTGGCCTGAGATGTTTTTAAAAGGAAATGTGTTTACTGGGCCTTGATGAGAACACACTTTTGTCCTGGGTTCCTCAGTGTGTCTTCTCTTGAACGTCACCTCTAGTTGCCTGGTGTTCATCACAACGATTTTGCTCTTATTATTCCAGGATTGTGGAGGATGACATTGCGTGGCCTCTGCCGTGGGTGAGTGGTTCGTCCCCTGCTCGTGGGGACCGGCTCCTTCCTCGGGCCGAGGCTGCGCTGCAGCTCTGGGCGCACAGCAGAACGCACGGGTGTCTGTCAGGCTGCGGCTGCCAACCTCCACCCCTGTCTGCTGGCGACTGCATCCCACGGCTGGGAATGGCCATTTTCCCCACCGCAGTCACTGGTTGCCGTCACCATGCCCCTCCCTTCTAGGTCCACATGCAGCCATGGCACCAAGCCCTCTGCCCGCACCTCCTGAGCTGGGACGGCAGAAGGAGCTGCAGAATTTGGGGCGTGGCTCTGGAGCAGGCACCAGTCATATTTCCCACCATGTGTGGCAAGCGGTGTCTGGGGACGTTCACTGTGATGGCCCTCAGAGGCCGCTCGCCGGCTCAAGCCTGCTGGCCTGGGCTCCATGACCACTCCTGTGGGGAGTTTCCTCCATTGGAGCCACTCTGCCTCGGAAAGCTGACTGCTGGGAGCCACCCCCCTGGTCTGTCCCTCCAGTCACATCCGCCACTCCTGGGTCCACTTCCCACAGCCTGCAGAACTGCCACTGTGAGCTTCAGGAAACTGGACACCAGTGTGTGCCCACTAAGAGCCACTGCAAAGTCCAGGTGTCCGGCCTCAGCTGAGCTCGGTGGCTGCCGGTCCTTTCCCCTCCTGCTTCGCAGCAGCCCCTCCTGAACCCCCCTGAGCCCTCTCCTCACTCAAGGGCCCAGCCCTTGGGGCCTCCATCTCAGCAGGAAACCTCACTTTGAGCTTTATGGTAGCAGCGATCCTACTGCGTTCCCAGGCAGCACGCTGCAGATGCATCATCCCATTTGCTGGGTGTGAGGGATAAAATCCCATCTCACCAATGAGGAAACGGATTCTAAGACAGGTAGGTGACTGCCCCAAGAGTGCGCAGCATATTTTGCTAACAACTCCAACTCATTGGTTTCAAACAATAATTTACCATTTCCCACAAGTTTCGGGTCCACGGGCTGGGGGACCCCTGAGTCTAGTCAGCGGGGACCCTGGGACGATCTGGCTGTGCTTCCCATGGCCTCGTCTCCTGCGGACCCCAGCCTTGTTCTCATAGCGGCTGCAGGAGCCCAGAGAAGGAAGCACACGCACCCAAGTCCTTGTTCCAGGCCTGCTCCAGGCCCGTGGCCACTGCGCACCCATCTCTTGTGCCGACCCGTCCCTCCCTGCGGTACATCACCTGTCTTCTTCCACCTCCACCTCCCCCCTTCCCACCTCCTGGTGACCCCCAGCCCTCCACGAGCAGCTTCCACCTCCCCTGTCCCTGTGAAAAGCTCGTCGCTCAACCCACTGATGCTCAAGTCACCTTGTGTGGGCTGAGACATCCTTGAGGTTTGTGTCACAGCTTTGTCATGCACCTGCTTGGCCTCCCACGGCGGGCACCAGGACTCAGGCTCAGTTCCTCTGTGGCTCCACCTTCGCCGTGCGACTCAGGGTCCTTAAGGGACCTCTGCCTCTGGCCACTGACAAGTGCAGGGTGTGCTAGGGACTGTGGGGGGGGGTCTCAAGAAGTGGACAGAACTGGAAGACAGAGATGTCACTCTCTGCAGCGCTGCCGGCAGGGCAGGTAGGGACAGGCCCTGCAGCTTGTGTCCAGTAGAACAGACACACTCCCACGTGGACAGCAGAGCTCTGCAGGGTCTGCTCCTCTCCTTGCTGAAATGCCCCTCCCTGTGTTCCCCGAAACCTTGGTCTCTGTCCTCACCCGTTCTGTGGGGCTACAACAGAACATCGCTCACGGGCCCTCTATAAAGGAAGCAGGTTTACTTCTCACATTCTGGAGGCTGGGAAGTGCAGTATCAAGGCACTGTCACTCACAGCAGAAAGAGACAGAGAGAGCGTGAGAGAGCAAGAGCCCAAACTTCAGCCTGGAGCCTTTTTATAATTATTAATCCGTCCATGAGGATGGAGCCCTCGTGGCCCAGTCACATCTCAGAGCCCATGTCTCGATGCTGCTGCATTGGAGGTTAAGTGTCTAATACGCGATTCTGGGAGACACACTCAAACCACAGCAGTCTCTGTCTTCAAATTCTGCCTGCTCATTTTGTCTGTGTAGCTGCTCCTTCTCCTTCCAGACGTCAGCATTCCCTGGGCCTTTCTTTGACTTATTTCCCTCCTCGTGACACAGGCTCCATGGAAGAGTCCATGGGGCACTGCACTAGGCTGCTGTCAACACTGGGTCAAAATGGTGACTCTGCCATGGGGCGGCCAGTCTTTCTCTTCCCTGCTGACCCCAGCTGCTGTGCGCAAGGTTCTCTCCCACACCATCCCTCCTCGGAGGGTCCTCGCTTTTCCTCCGCTGCAGCCAACGAGGACACCTTCCTTCTCTCTGCATATTCCCAGGACAACTTCAGGTGCACGAGAACCAGGAAATGCTCAGAGGTCTGCAGGATCACAGGTGCACACTAGGTGGAAAAATCGCCCATCAGGTTAGAACATGACTCCAATTTCATTAACTTTGCCTGTTCTCATCTTTGGGAGGACAGAGCTTTCCAAAGCTTTGGACATAACTTGTGCCAATGAAACCTAAACCAACCAGTCCACCAGTGGGAACATGCATCTCACTGGCCTGGCAATGCCAGCATCTTCTAAGTCAACTGAATTGAATTTTTGTCCAGGAGCCAAAATATTCTCAGGGTTAAGAAGAAACCACACAGGTGACTGTGGGGAGCAACTCGGACTAGACTGTTACTGGAATTAAGACTTATTCTATGCATCTGCTCTCCCACAATATGGCGCTGGGAGAGGAGGAAACAGCTTCTACACAGCTGCCTCCAGTTCAACCAATAAACAGCAGGACCTGCTCCTGATTGGAGGAGAGCAGCGTGCTCGGCGTGTGGGTAGCAGAGTTGGGATTGGTGGAAGAGGACTATAAAGGAGGAGAGAGACAACATGCACCAGGAACATCTATCTGAAGGAACACCTGTGCAGCCCCCGAGAGAGCCGGCCGGCGGTGTGCCGCTCCCCCGTGGAAGTGGGGAAAGTGGCAGGGGGAACCGCCCTTCCATGGAGGTGGAAGGGTCGGTAGCCAACCCGGGAAGAACCAGCAGCAAACCCGGGGAGGGCCGAGCAGACAAAAGAACAGCGCAGGGTCCTGTGTCGTTCCTCCACGAAGAGGGGGAGCGACATAATGGTGCCGTGACTCGGATATGAAGCCTAGGCAGGTTTAGTGTCGTTCCTCCACGAAGAGGGGGAGCGACATAATGGTGCCGTGACTCGGATATGAAGCCTAGGCAGGGTTTAGTGTCATTCCTCCATGAAGAGGGGGAGCGACAGGTGACTCCAAGGATTGCAGAATCCTTAAAAAGCCTTATTCTGAATAAACTTATCTAAGTTTGGACAGGAGGCAGCACTGCTAAGTGTTGATGGAGAAGCCACAGTACTAACATTTCATTATTTGAGGATAATTTAAAAGGTTTGTGGAAAATGCAATGAAAAGTACATTAATCTTGGTGCAGAAACTTTGAAATCCATATACACATTTTCCATGAACTTTTTATAGGGCCCTGGCAGAGTTTCCAAAATGAGAAGCTTTTAAAGTTGCCTTGTGATTAAAAGGAGCTTTAGGGGCTGTGTGGTGGTACGGCAGGTGTGCAATGTGGGCATCCATCTGGGCCTGGTGTTAGTGTCCCGGCTGCTCCACTTCCCACCCAGCTCATGTGGGCACCCATCTGGGCTCCCTGCTAACCTGCTTGGGAAAGCAGTGGAGGGTGGCCCAAGTGCTTGAGCCCCTGCACCCAGTGGGAGACCCAGATGGGGTTCCAAGCTTCTGGCTTCATGTTGACCCAGCCTTGGGCGCTGAGGCCATGTGGGACATGGCCCAGCGGACTGAACATCTCTCTCTGCTCTCTCTCATCTCCTCCCTCTCTCCATTTGTGTGTGTCCCTCTTTCTGTAAACTCTGCCTTTCCGAATAAATGAATCCATCTCTTAAAAAGGAGTTTTAACATCTATCTATCTGTTTCTCTCCCCTTCTTCATCTGTCCAATAGTCTCTTGGCAAACTGTTAATCAATTAAAAAACACGCGGAGATGCGGGAGGCAAAGGAGCCGCCGTAACCTCCCAGGAGCCAGCGGACTCCCCAGTCCCTCCGGGAGCGCGCCCAGGGTCCTCCTCCCGCTCAGACCTCCTTAGATCCCGTTTTTCCAGGGGAGCAGCCGCGAGCACCTCTCTCCAGAACAAATCCCATTCCCAAATCGCTGGTCGCGAATCCCCAGAAGTAGAAATTCCTCTTAAAATCACAGAGGGACCGCATTTAAAACGCAGACAACCCGCGTCCCCCAAGCGTGGGCCGCGCTCAGCCTCGGCTAGTCCTCCCTGGGCCGCGCGCGCGCCGGTCCCGGCGGTCAACAGGTGGACGCGGGGCCGGCCCCGCTCCGTCTCCTCCCGCCCGAGTCCCCACCCCCGGCCACGGCGCGGACTCCCGGGGCGGCTCCCATTGTTGGCCTCGTCCGTCTTTTCGCGCGCCGGGTGACATGAATGCATGGGCGGGACACACCTTCCACCCTTCTTGGGGAAAAAAAAAGAAAAAGAAAAAAGGAACAGACCCACAAGCGCCCGGACGAGCGCAGCGCGCGGGAGCGACCCCAGCCCGGGGACCGCACAGCCTCCCCCCACCCCGCCCCAAGCCACTCCGCCCATCCCTCCCGAACCGCCCGGGGCGGATAAATAACGCGCCTCCCCGCCCCGCGCTCTCCTCGGCGCGCGCTCCGCGGCCGGCTCCGCGCGCTCCAGCCCCGCGGGAGGCAGCGGCCCGGCGCAGCTCAGGGTCCGGGGCGCGCCGCGCGATGCTGCCCAGCGCCGTGGCGGCCCACGCCGGCGCGTACTGGGACGTGGTGGCCTCCTCGGCGCTCCTCAGCCTCCCCGCGGCGCCGGGCTTCGGCCACCTGGGCAAGAGTTTCCTGATCGAGAACTTGCTGCGCGTCGGCGGCGCCCCGGCGGCGCACGGGCCGCAGCCACCGCCGCCGCCGCCCCACGGCCCGGCCGCCGCGGGCGCTCCGAGGGCCCTGCCCGCCAGCCCAGTGCCGCTGAAGCTGTGCCCCGCCGGGGCGCCCTACGGCCCGCGCTGGGCCTTTCCGGGGCTCACCCCGTCCGCGGACGGCTCGAGGCTGCCGGGCCGGGCTCCGGGGGACCGAGACGGCGCCTTCCAGCCTTCAGCGCCAGGTGAGCCGCTCCGGGTCTGGCCGGGAGGCGCGCGCCACGCCGGGGGCCGCTGGCCGGGGCCCTTGCCTGCCGCCTGCCACCTGCCGGCGTCGTGCCCAGCGCGTCTGGGGCCAGCGGGAGGGCTGCGCTGACTCCGGCTCGCGGGAGGAGAAGGCAGCCCATCCTGGCACCCTGGGGTTTCGACGCCAGGCGCCCCTGGCCCGCCACCGCCCAGCCGGAGGCCGCGCCCCGGTTCCTCCGAGGTCTGGGCCCGGAGAGCCCCGCGCGGCCGGCCCTGGGCAGTGGCCCGGGAGCTGCGACGGTCGCGGCCACTGCACTCCTCACAGTTTTGTTGACTTAACGCTCACAAGGCCACCTAAGAGCTGAGTCGGCAACCGGCGCCGGAGGCTCAGCGGCCGCTGGGTTTACCTAAAGCAGGGCGGCCTTGGGGATGGACCCCGGCGGGGAGGACGGAGCCACGGTGGAGCCAGGAGCGCGGGGAACGCTCTCGGACGCCCTGGGAGTCCACTCGGTGTCTCTGTCTCTCTCTCTGCGTCCTTAGACGATCTAACGCTTTCCTTTAACCCCGGTGGGTTTGTCCGGAATGACTAATAGACGCTTTTTCAGCAGTTTGCATTGTCCCAACGAACTGCCGGATCCAATTTACTGCTAATGGCTTCATAGAATCGAGCGTGGTCAGAACTCGCCCGTCGTTCAGCCTGAAGTGGTTTCTAACAGATGGAGCAGAGGTGGTTACGTGAGCCCCGGTGCGGTGCGGTGCGGTGCGGTGCGGTGCGCGCGGGGCGAATGCTGCGCGCCGCCAGGCGGGAGCGCGGCGCCTGGGGCGCGGGGCCGCTGCGCCCGGTGCTGGGCTGGGGACCGCGGGGAAGGACGCGGCGGGTCGCCGAGGCCAGCGAGCCAGGTGATGCGGCAGCTTCTGGTGCTTTGGTTGTGTCCCAGAAGTTGTTTTTCAAAAGTTCTTAGGTTGTTCAGGATCGCGGTTGGCTACTCAACCATGAAAATTTACTCCGTTTTAACCTTTGCAGATCTCACAGGTTAAATCTACATGAGCTATATTTGAATCAATGGCGGATAGTCGGGAACCCTCAGAAATAATTCTATACACCTATCCGTTGCATTAAATAGATTGCAGTCAATGAGTAAAGGTTTCCCTGCGTACATCGCCTTCATTTTAGGACATATTCATGCTGGTAAACTTATCGCAGTGTCCAAATGGAAGAATGATTTTCTTGGAGCAATTAGGAGGGTATAACAGTGTATGTTTCCCTTTGACGTTTTCTAATACAATCTTATGTGTGTTTTTCTGACTATTTTATTCAGTCCTCAATGAGGATTTCCTGTTCCCTAAGTTAATTTTCTTCTTATTAAGCAACCATTGTTTCAGAAATGGTTTCTGTAAAGAATGCATCTGATTTTTCAAACCAGAATAATAAAGGAGAAACCCCAGTCATTTAAATCTGCCCACAAAGAGGTTGCAGGAGATCAGCATTTACCTATTATATTATATTACTTAAATTATAATTTAACAAAGAAAACGCAGAGTCTGAGTGCTGCCCCAGTTTTATATGGGTGACAGCTTCTTGCCTCGCTGACAGTTGTGGGAACTCTTGTACGCTATAGAATCATGAAGTTAAAATGAGTACCAACTGTTTTACCGACTTCCTAGAAATTAGGTGAGGTGGAGAGTGATTGCTGTTGCGTGGAGAGCAGACAAGAGAAGAATTCGTGTTGGTTTTGGAAAGGTAATGCCCGTAGCGAGGTGTCCATGAGCCGCCATCCCTGATGCTTGAGCGGCTAACTTGGGAGTGGATCACAACGATACTGTAGTCCGTCAGGGTATCAACCACGTCGTGTGTTTGGGGCGTCAGTCTAACTGCGGAGTAGGAACACACCGGAGTTCTCTTTAAGTGCGTTGGTGAAATCGCTGAGGAATTTATGGCCCCGCATGGGTTTTGTTTCGTTATTTTGTCACCTGCAGTCAATTAGACCGCGTGCTTCATTGCTTGCTGAGGGTCCCCCGTGGGTCAGGCCCCGACCTTGGCCTTTGGCACAGAGAACCAAGGCCGTGGCGGCTCAGGCCCCAGGCTCTGCTCTGCAGAAGAGGCCGCCTGTCGCTGTCACGACGGTTAGCATCTTCGATCCTCATAGTGGACAGGACTAGGATTCCACTGCTTTCCTGTAAAGAAGGTAACGACTGTGCTTGCTAATCGTGTGCTTTCCCAGGCATTGCTGTAAACAGCAGTGGATCCATGGGAGAGAAAAAAATGGCCCTGAGCCCTGCAGCTCCACCTTAGGCTCTTTTCATCGGCCCTGGGAACCTAGGCAGGGCTAAGGGAGAGCCTACTGCAGGTTACACTGAGGTTTTGTATCAGCCCTGGGGGGGACTGGCTTCTTGTCCTGACACCCCTGAGAAGTGGTGGCAGTTAAGTGGTCACAGCCTGGCAGGCCGTGGGTGGACGTGTCCCAGCCAGCGAGGAGCATTCCGGCATAGATGTTGCCGAATCCCTGAGAACACAGAGGCTTACCAACTGCCAGACGTCGCCGGGTGCTCCTCAAGGCCGCAGGGCCACCTGGAGCACCGTGGGGGTGGTCCTGGGCTCCACGGGAATCTCTCTGGCAGACAGAGGTCCTGGACCCGGTGTGGGTTGGCAGTGGAGCCTGGAGGCTTTGCAGGAGGTCACTGCGCTCGGTACTTGGAAAACGGCGTGCTGCAGTGCAGTGTTCACGTCCTCACTGTGAGGGTGTTGGGACGCAAACAGGTTGAACTCCCCTTGGTCATGACAATGCCGACAATTTCCCATGGATCGTTATACCAATGGTTTCTTTCAAAATAAATGGGTCCTCTGGCTTCTAAATTACACGTTACTTCAAACATTTTAGAAAATGCCATAAAAATGTGTGGTTAAATCCATTCTTTGTGCTGTGTGTTAAAGCATTGGAAAGCAGGTGTTTATTTGGGATACGTGAGCTGAAAGCTGTTTTTCTTTTTAAAAGTGTATTTTATTTATAAGTCAGAATTACAGGTTAGGGGAGAGAGAGAAAGGGAGAGAGAGAGGGAGGGAGGGAGGGAGGGAGGGAGAGAGAGAGAGAGAGAGAGATCGAGATCTTCCATCTGCTGGTTTACTCCCATAATGTCCACAATGGCTTGGGCTGTGCGAGGCCAAGGCCAGGAGCCAGGAGCTTCTTCCAGGTCTCCCTTGTGCATGGCAGGGGCCCAAGCACTTGGGTCATTTGCTGCTGCTTTTTCAGGCCATCAGCAGAGAGCTGGATCAGAATTGGAGCAGCGGGGACTGGTACTGGCGCTCATATGGATGCCTGTGGTGCTGCAGACATCGGCTTAACCTGCTGTGCCACAGTGCTGGCTTCTGTGTGTTTGTGTGTATTTTTTTTTTTAAAGTGATCTTGCCAGGTGAGTTGACCTGTGTTGTCCGGAAGTGAAAGGTCTGTAGGGTTTTCTGGCGTCCCATTAGGGTTTTGTCTCACTGTCATACTGCCCATTGCTGTTCACTGTTGACCTCCTCGGAATCTACTTGCAGCTCTGCTTTGCCTTCCCAGAGGTAGTTTCCCTCCCCCTGGAAGGTGTGAAGCCCCCCGGGGAGGGAGCAGTGGGCTGTGCTGCCCATGGGGGCTCCAGTCTGATGGAGGACTTATGGTCGGGTTTAGGTTGTGGTTTGCTGTTTTGTTGCTGACGCTGTTCCAGATTTTATTTATTTAAAAGATTATTTATTTAAAGAGTTACACAGAAACAAGGGGGGGGGAGAGAGAGAGAGAGAGAGAGAGAGAGAGAGAGGTATCTTGAATCAGCTTGTTCATCCGCTAGATGGCCACAGCAGCCAGGGCTTGGGCAGGCAGAAGCCACAAGCCAGGAGCTTCTTCCAGGTCTCCCACGTGGGTGGCAGGGACCCCAGCACTTAGGCCATTCTCACTGTTTCCCAGGTGTGTTAGCAAGGAGCTGGATCAGAAGTGAAGCAGCCAGAGCATGAGTCGCTGCCCATAGGAGATACTGGTGTAGCAGCTGGCAGCTTAACCCACTATGCCTCATCGCTGGCCTGCAGACTTTATTTATTTATTTATTTATTTATTGACAGGCAGAGTGGACAGTGAGAGAGAGAGACAGAGAGAAAGGTCTTCCTTTTGCAGTTGGTTCACCCTCCAATGGCCGCCGCAGCCGGCGCACCATGCTGATCCGATGGCAGGAGCCAGGTACTTATCCTGGTCTCCCATAGGGTGCAGGGCCCAAGCACTTGGGCCATCCTCCACTGCACTCCCTGGCCACAGCTGAGAGCTGGCCTGGAAGAGGGGCAACTGGGACAGAATCTGGCACCCCGACCGGGACTAGAACCCGGTGTGCCGGCGCCGCAAGGCGGAGTATTAGCCTATTGAGCCGTGGCGCCGGCCAGACTTTATTTATTTTTAAAATTTTTTATTTTATTTTGTTTAAGGAATACAACGTCATACATTTAATTTATACAGATTTGGGAACATGGTGATTCTCCCCCACCCTATACTCCTGCTTTTCTTCCTCCTCATTCTTCCTTTCCCATTCTTATTTTTTACAAAGATCAATTTTTTAGCTAATTTTTATACTCATAAAATTAACCTTACACTAAGTATTAGAATGAAGAAAAAAAAACAGAAAAAAAAAGTGGGGAATTCAAGACAGGAAGGGCAGTGATGGGGCCCTTTCTACTGGCCCCTTGCTCCAGCTGTCCACCCTGGTGACCTGTGTAGAATTTGTAGATGACACCAGAACATTATTCTTGTAAGATCTGTGGTTTGTTGTGATCTTACCTATCTTTACATTGAAGTTAACGTATGGATAACTGTTAGCCAGCTCATGAGCAGTCAGCTGGGAACACATTGCACAGTCCCGAGTTAGTGAGCACCTGCAGAACGGACAGGCAGCGCCTTCTCTGGGTGCTCACTGAGTGCCCGTCCCTTATGGAATAATATCTGAGTCAGAACCCACGGTGTTCACCACGGGAGAGAAAATCTTCCAT